CTACTTAAAAGTGTAATAAATTAATAGTGTTTGGTGTTTAATATATAAATATTACAATTGTCTTCACTCTTACGCTAAACCATCCGCTAACACTAAATTGACTAATGTCTAATATGTAAATATTAGTCAATTTCGTGTTACGTGATGGTTTAGCGCAGGAGTGCGACAACTCAAGAAAATGAAATTTAATTTGAATTCAAATTAATGGCGGGAGCGGGATGCTTAGTAATTATTCAACCAGACACGGAGTGGCGCTTTCAATGCCCCAATTTTTTTATTTGAGTTGCCTGTCTATATAATACAGCTAACCTAACCTAACGATCCATTGTCTATGGTCATACGCCATCCTACATGTTTCCAATTATACTTCGCCAGTTAATATCATCATCAGACCAAGTATACGTTAAAGGAAAAGAAAAAGCCGATTTCATTCAAAAAAACTCTATCGCAAAATGTCACCGAGGTGGAAGAAGAACCAGCTTTACCTAAATTAGAAGCATGTTGCTACTATCATGTACGCTCACTTTGTTGTTGCGCTTTATCTAACGTTTATTATATTTATAATACTCATGTAATTTAGTCATTTTCTAAATAAAACAACCAAATTCAATCATTTTTACTTTATTGCAATTGATACATCTTAATACGATTACATAATATGGGCTCCAAAACAGCTGCAATGCGTTCTATTTTACATTTGAAGCGGTACCTATCTAATGTGACAGTTTCCCACGGACCCTTTCTTGCTTCTCTGTAAGCATAGGACCAAGCTCGCAAGATATAAATTTTATTTTTTTTGTTTCATTGTGTCAAACCATACAAACGAGTCTGAGAATGAGCTTTTTAAGCAAAACTTGCTATTGTACAGCTCTTTTTTCTTCCTTCTGATTTTCTTCTTCACATTACTCTTTCTTTTATTCCGTTCCACACTTTCCTCTTCATCGCTTATATCTCGATATTACCATTTCTTCAATTCGTTTACATATTCTTCTCATGTACGGAGCTACTTAATTGATATCAGTATTGCTACAGTAAACGACTAACTGTCTCCTTTACGCCTTAAAACTTTCTCGGATGAGCTGTTTTCTACATTTCTTCAGCATCGAAGTGACCCATTATAGGTTCTCCTAATAGATCTTCAAGGTATATAGGATTACCAACCTTTAGCGACTTTAACAGTTTCGTAGATTAATTTGAAGTGTAGTCTCTTGCAAAAATTATCAGCCTCACTATAAATGTTTTCTATACCATTATCTACGGAGAACTTAGCCCTTTGTTACATATACGACCTTAGGTAATCTATATGTAGGGGAAATTTGCAATGTTTTAACCCAAATAGGTCCCGATATTTTCTTTATTATCTCAGGTAAAATATATATGATTAATTGATAATTGACAACTTCATCATCTTCGTCGATGAAAGTTGAGTAAGATTATACCATTCTGGAGGTGTAAAATCAATAAAACCACAACATTTTGAACATCCTATTCGTACAATAGGAGCTGCATCCTTCCATAAACTATATCCAATCGATAGAATTTTTTCACAGCCGTTTCCATTACTGTCATATTTATAAATGAGAGGTGAAATTAATTCATCTGTATGGTTCATAAACGTATAATTATCTTCTACTTCTGATGTTTGTGTTGATATTTCGTTGAAATCAAGACCATAAATATTATTCCAACACGTTTTTGTGATACCCCCATCGCTAACGGTTGAAACTGTTGATTTTGGTGATGATTGTGGTGGTGGTGTTAGAGGTGTTGGTGATGATGATTCTTCTTCAACATCCATAAATAGTGACACTTTTCGCGATTTTGATTTATTTAAGAATTCGTTAATTTTCTCTTGTGGAAAAACTTGTTGATGTGACATTGTTCATGCACTGCACTTTTAATACTGAAGTTTACTTAAATGTTTTGATTTCTTTTGCACCTCTCCCACCCTCTCTCGAATACACTCTTGACAATTAATCATTTGTGACGCAGGACCATCAATTTGTATTTCATATCTATTATTCCAATAATGTTTATAGCAAAATTGCTAATTAAAAAGTTGACGTTTATATTCGTCAGGTAACTTATCAAAATATTGGCCCAACTGTGTTCGAGCATGTTTTTTCAAATATTCAATTGGTATGTCAAGAATGTCTTCTTTTGACATATTCTCAAGAGTTGTAAAATTTTTTATTGCACGATTTATATTATCCATTTTTAGATCAACAACGTTTAGTCTGACGTTCAACACGAAACTACATTTTGACAGTTTGTTTTCAACTTTTATCAGTCTGAGACATCTACAATTTTTATTCGCTAATGTAGTCATCGTCACTATCGAAGGCGCCATCATCATCTATCTATAAGATTTACATCTGAATCCGACTTACTCAATAAACTTGTTAAAAGGGTTTTAAGTTGTTGCAAAATTGTCTCCTGAGGGCAAGATAGACCAAAAACACCAAGGTCCTTTTTAAACGATCTCACTAATCGAGCGCTAAATTCATCATATTTATAGACATGCTGTTTATCGAAAAAGTAGGCATGGGGTCACTTGGGCCTGGGAAAATTCTGGGGACCGTGGGAACTTTTTTTCCTTTGATGTATGCCGCCCACGTGGGTGGCCCTAGACCGTGGGAATTTTTCCTTTGATCTATGCCGCCTGTGTGGGCGTGGTCTTAGACCGTGGGAGCTTTTTCCTTTGATGTATTCCGCCTACGTGGGTGGCCCTAGACCGTGGGAATTTTTCCTTTGATGTATGTCACCTACCTGGGAGATCCTCTACTTCTCTAACCTGACCGTTAAGGAGAGGTCCTACGCTCCTCCTTGATGTACGTCATACGATTGTTGTGGCTTTATGAGAACTTGACGTTTACCTATGACGGACCCGCCGCCGGCGCTTAACTGGGGAAGTGCGAGCGCATTTCGTACGAGTTAAGAGCCTCTAGTAGGAGTGGGGCGTCACACACACACGCTGCGCTTCTTTTAATATGAATATATTTTTTACAAAAGTACTAAAACTGTTTATTGTATATACATAACCAATTCTTAACTAATTCCCTATACCTACTATACCTATTTCTACAAGTTTCTGAGAATCTTAAATTACTACTACAAATTTCTTCATATAATACTATGAAACTATAACTAACATCTTTAAAATAACTACTATTAAATAAGTCAACTCCTGCGTCGTCCTTAACTTCGTTTAAACAATTAATTAAAAGCTGTCCAAGTGCCTGACTTAAACTTATATCACTGGATATCGCATTGATGAGGCAAGCTAATTGCTCATCCGTTTCCTGCTCAAACCTTACCAGGTCGATGTCAGCTAGTTGTTTCTGTTTCCACTCCAACTCACTTTTGACAACGGCTGGTAAGCAGTCCCATCAGAAGGTCTGGTTAACAAATTTTTAACACATAATTTGTATAAAGTATCAGTATCTTCAACACGAACTGCTACTCGCTGTCTCACGTCTTGCATCAGATTGCCGCTTGTAAGTCCAGTCGTCGCAATGCGAAAGACTCAAGTAATGAATGAAGTTGAAACACACTAGTAGCTCACCAAAGTCAATGCTGTACTTCTCGCTCAATTGAGATAAATGCTCTTCGCTGGTAGATAAACCCCATGTACGAATTAGGCTTTCCATTTTATAGGAAACGTCGTTGATTTTGTCTCGGGGTTATAGAATTTTTTTTACTGTAATTAAGGTTGTTATTATAGTGATGGTGAATTTTTCAGGAAAGTTTATTTTAAAAGTTGTTCACATTGCCTGTTTCGTAATTTTAGATAGGTATAGGGTCGTTTTGTTTTGTTATCTAATCATTTTACTTTCCTATTAAGTAAGTAGTAGTAGGAGAGTGTCAATATAAGAAAAGACCATTGATATTGACTAAACTACGTTGCATATTTATACCTATTTCATTTTGATAACGTTTTTTATTTTTCTGTTGTAAAACCTCAATGTTGTAAATATTTGCTTCAGCAACATTGTAAATTTTTCCATCTGTAGACCACAATCTCGAAATCTGTATCGAAAATTTGCAACAAATATTGTGCTACATCGATAACACTACAACCATTGAAGGATTATAGTAAACCACAAACACATGTGTTTGTCTTATCAACAGAACCGCAAAACGTTTTATTTCTAACGCTATGTTACTAAGATAACATCTAAAAATAAATCTCAACCGCAAACGATTACTACTAAGTTTTAAATATACATTTTATGAAGTACGCCGCTTGTGTTACTAAGCATGATTCTAAAATTAGAAATTTGTTTTTACCTACTACCCCTTATCTACAACCCCCCTAAAACACATCTACTACCCCTACACACATATACAACCCCTCAAACCTCGAAAAAAACACCGCAATCAAGACCGATCCAAAAAGTGAGTTTTTGTCACTGAAATCTCCCATAAGAAATACGTTGCGCTTATGGAGATTTACATTGTGCCAGAACTCTCCTTGTTTAACTACTAGGATCGAAGTTCATTCTTGATATTAGCGCAAATGCTGCAGGTTTCGAATTCAGGTACCTAATGTAGCAGTAGACGCCCTGATCGATGTACCACTGATAGAGAAAAACATCATCTATCTTTAAACGCTTTATCTCCTTAACTGCTTCTTTACCTCGAAATAATCGTATATTCGTCATCTTCTGAACTGAAAACGTATATCACTCTACATCTATATTTATATGGGTAGGTATGCCATAACGGAAGCAGCATCCGGTCATCGGCAGGAAGCAGCATCCGGTAAATTCTAATCAGCAGGAAACAGCGTCCGGTCGTTAACAGGAAACTAACATCCGGTAAATTCTAATCAGTAGGAAACGTAAATGGCGGTAATAGTGAAGCAGCATCCGCTTTCCCAATCATTCAAACCTTGTGTAGCTATTTTTAATGAGGGTTTCCTGTTTTTTAATCGTCCTTGACGACTGAAACCGTTCGATGGGAAATTTGATAATAAAATGATCGGTACGCGTTACACGTATTATGAAGGTGCTGCCTCAAGTGTATCAATTTGATTTAAGAAGCTTGCCTTATCACATATTATCCGCACATAAACTTTGATCCAAGAAAAATTGATTTAGTCCCATATGAAACTTTTCTTAATAGCTGTAATTGATATGAAGGTTATATGATAAGCCTTTTCTTAATATAGATATAGCTAAAGTTGGTGTAATACATAATATTCACAATGTTATCTTATTTATCGCAACGGCATTATCCTCTACCTACTTCCCATCAATAAATCTAAGATATTATATAGGTATTATAATAATAAAGCTACGGCGCTTGCGACCGTTTAACCATGATGATGATGAAGGCAATCCTCCATTGAGGTTTGATATCGGCTAAAAAAGATATCAATGTAGGCTTTTTATTACAAAATAATTTTGATACTTACGGTCCAACTCTGATGTAGACTATGTTTTCTGCTGTCAGCTTATTACTTATAAACGCCCATATAAAATAATCGCTGAATAAATACAATAAAATGTCACGCTTTTCATTAAACTGCAAATTATGCGCGCATGGACACGTATCCCTAAGAAAAGTAAATTATAAGCAACCAAAAATTGAAAAAGGGCTTACCTGATGTATATAAGCAGCCACCTGTCTATATATCCACATACACACTTATTGAAATCGGATTGCGGATGC